ATCACACATAGTTTGAATGTGCGTGACTATCAAATCCCAGCTGTCGAAGCCTAGCGGTTTCCCCGTCCTAGCATCAGCAGGAATGGATACAGGACCGTAAAACACGCTGAGTCCTCCATGGTCCGCCCAGTGCCCTTGCAGCGCAGACTCCCGATTATGCTAGGAGTCGTTCCGCGGGCGTCGCGTGCGGCGCTCTTGGCACTTCGCCAAGTTCTGTGTTGCGCTTTGGAATACAAGTAAATTCCGCGCATTCCCACAAAACATGAAAATAAAAACGGCCTAAGCGTATCACTCGCTATTTAATCAGCAGTATTATGACGTTGGAGCCGAAATCGCGCCGAATTGCAGAATTTTACACGCGATTCTAACTGTTTTGTCCTCAATTTTTCACTTTGTTTTATTTACATCTGCATTAGTTGCTCTTCATTTCTAGCCTTGTCATCTTCATCACCTTCTATTAGGACTTTGCAGCATAAGCAACACCTTAAATGTTATACGGAAATTGCGTTTCACTTGTGCTTCAAAGCGCAATTACAGTACTTGACAAAGTGCCAAGAGTGCTGCGCGCGACACGCTCTGAGCGGATGCTGTTAGCATAAACGGAAGTTTGCGCCGCAAGTGACATTGGGCGGAGCATGGAGGAGTTAGCGTGTTTCACGGTCCTGTGTCTCCATTCCTGCGCATGTTGGGACGGGGAAACCGCTACGCTTCGACAGCTGGGGGGGGGGTGATTGTAATGCACACCCAAACTATGATTGAATGTACATGTGTCTTTTAGAGAAACTGATGAATTATAATTTGTTGGCTAATGGAACGATGGGTGAAGCAATTAGACAGCGTGCTGTAACTTTCGCCTATCCTATCCTATTCAAAATAAATGCTCCGCCATTAGTACTAATTCATTCACATGAGTTATTCAGCAGCGAGACGGAAATAGACCTAAAAGCACATCTAACACATCTAAAACGGAGCAATTTTAGGCTTTTTAGTGCAATTGACGATTTGAATAACAAAAATGGTTTTGACAACCAGCATAAATACAGAGCACCACTAATGTTTTTATCTTCCTCCACTCCCTTCTTTATTCTCTCCTGTTTACAAAGGAAACCTTAGCGAACTAAATGCATGTAATGTGAGAATGATTCCATTCACGCCTCTACTTTTAGGTGAGAAATGCGCTTGTGGCTGCTTGTGTGCCTTATTGCAGGGTGCTCAGCTTTCTACTTTGGTCGCAGCTACTACAGTTACGTGAGTGCTGTCCATAGATCATATTATGTGATGTATTTGCAACAGCGTACACTCCATACCATGGAATCGTGGGGAGTAGGACCAGGGTACAGCATCTTCTGTGAAACATGGGGTCGTACATGGGGTTGTCTTCACTAGAAGAAGGGCATATGAGGTGAGGACTGCCAAAGACTGTCCCATCCGGCAGATGACATTCTCAAGAGCGTGTGTCTGCAACAAGGTACACCCCATATCCCAAAAGTGAGGAGAGCATTAGTGCTACTTCATTTGAATGAGGCGGCCAGGGCTCATCCTTCCATTGCGGCGGAGTGGGGGGGAGGGGAACTTCCGCAAGACAGGCCTCTCCCCTGGAAACTGCCCCTGCCGATACAATATCGCCTGACCATATCCACCCACCCCACATCTTTCTGAATTCTCGCGATTTCCTCCCACTTTTCCGATATTTTTTTTCCTGAAAAACAGCAACTGAGCTACGGCGGAAGGGTGTGTGTACAAAGCGGGTGAAGAGCGAAAAGAAACCGAGGACAGCCACTATCAAGAACATTTTTCCGTGAGGCAAAGAACCTGCTCCTCCTAGCTGGAGATCCCCAACGTGCGCCGTGCCTTGGCGGCGCTGCTGCTTTTTGATAAAATACTGTCATTTTTGTGGCAACTGCAGACATCTCTGTGGAACGCAAGAAAGAATGACTGTTGCCTCAGGTGACAGTATCCCATGAAATGTTCAGGGAGGGCATCCTACCCCTGCTCATCTCCGGGATATGAGCTGCAGATGGATCTATGTGCTTACATAGTAGTCGATCCTCCGGGGGTCTCTCAGTGACCCTCTGAGATGCTTCTTGGAAAACCATTTTTGCTTTTTCTTCAAACCACAAGTTTCAATACATTCGAACACGAGAAAGTAAAAATCACAGTAATAGAGAATTTCGTCACCATGTGGTCGAACTAGCAACTGCATGTACTGCACGCTCTTTGCATGTTCTTTGGCACTTCTAGGAGCGCGCAGCAAACAAAGAGCAAGGGCAAACTCTGTATCAGAATGACTCCTCATTAGAAATATCCACTTGAGAGCTAAGTGCGATACCAAGATAAACCACTGCGATCCGCCTTGTGGAAATCTGACCCACCTTCCTGTAGACCTTCTAGTTTTGTAGTGCATTCCTTGTACGTTCTCCATATTTGCGTTGCAGACCGATGGGAAATGCGTTGCCATTTCTAATAGCAAACACCTGTGCATCCAAACTTACAAAATGCCGTCAAATTGCTGGCTAGATGATGGGACCACGGTTGTCTGCATGAAACGACGTACTCAATACGTAACTTATTCAAGATCTAAACAACCTAAGTCCGGAAAAAACCAAAACTCCAAATCACCCCACAAGAAAGTGATTCCTCTCTAGGTGAGTTCCCGTCTTGTTTGTCTCATCAAAAGTAATTGCCTAAACAAAGAAACAAGTCTTGAACTACAAAACTCCAGCGAAACAGTTTCAGAATGCGGACTCATTCTAATAGTACTGACTTTATCACATTCAGATATAACTTCTTCGCTGCTAAGTAGGACCTTCTACGTCCAAGTTACTGTCGAATACTGGAACAATGTGATCGCCGAATAAATGCATTTTTGCAGCAATAGTGCAAGGCACAGAAGTTTTATTCGGAGGAAAACTTCAGCATTATCATCTGTACAGTGCCCGAGATTACATCACACTCTACGATCACTACTCGTGGGATTTCGAGTCCAAATAAGAGTGCTTATCAAAAAAAACCAGATGCTTATCGACCTACGTAGTGAGAGAGATGAGAGGGAGCCATTGACTATGCTCCAAAAAAAGCCCAGAATTGAGCTAGTATCCGAAGAAACGAAGCAGTGTTGCGCGAGCGAGAGATCGCAGATAAAGAGCACAGAGCCTACTAAGTAAGACACAGCGGTAAGCTGGGAGGGAATGGGGGCGTTTTTGTTCACAGCGGAGAATTTGATTTTTCACTTTTTGTGCTAGCTATGAATGGTTCCGCAAATCGCCGCCCTTACGGCAGATTTTTGGGGAAAAGTACGAGGGAAGGAAGGTGGGTTGTGAATGGAGGTCGCACGTAAGGAAAAGTTCAATGGAGGGGGATCGATTATGCGAAATATTACACAGCCAACAATTACTCTACTCCTACTCGTCGGAGATACCGCTCTATCCTGTCGAGGTACAAAAACGAGACGAGTGTATTCTACAGCATATTGTATACTATCATGATACTCCGCCACAGCCTTCTGGACGAGCGCCATCGAGAGATTCTGCCACGCGACCGTGATTCGGTACCTGAGTTCAGCGAGGTCGTTGATTTCTCCGCCAGACCACCCTGTTGAGCTCCGCCCGAACCGGGTAATTGAGGGGTTTAGGTCAGGTGACACACTTGATATTCCGTCTTCTTCAGGTACTCAACGCCCTTCCATTCCAAGTAGGCGAGTTTTTTTCCAACGCCCTTCGATTCCGTGTGGAGGCACCCAATCCTGTAGCAGTACGAAGTCTCCAAGAAGGTACAGGTGATGACATGAAGGCAGGTATTCACTACGAGTTGTACGATGTGACCGTCAGCGCTCACCTTCAGTCCACGAAGACAGTCTCGGTCTCCACATTCCAGGAGCTTCCGGTCCATACCACCAACCCGCGCCTTGGCGACTGCGATGATATTCTGGACCGTAGCGACGTTGCCGGAGCTGCTCGATGTTGGAGGTCTTCCAGATCAAGAGTACTGGTCTCCAGGTAGCTATCCATGGGTGACTCCATACTAGAAGTTTCGCAGCTGTTTGGTGACATGAATTCCAAAGGTCTTCTCCAGTCAGGCTGCGACTGGAGATGACTTCATATTTTGGTGTACATGAAGGTGATGGGCGAGAGCCAGCTCCTGCTTATCGAGGAACATCTTGGGTATCTTCCGCCCTGGCTCGTATCCACGTCCTCTGTATGGGCTGAGAAAACTTTCATGATGATATGTGCATGATAGGTGAATCGGCCAAAGTGTCGTTTTTTTTGGCTCCTCCCCTGTATGTACGACCACCTCCTCCCTATCGGCAAGCCACACAAGACAGACGATTCTGCTATATACGCTTAAAGCACGTTCCGCGATAAACTAAGGCTAGAACCTCATAAACGTGCATGATGATCAAGCAGGCAACAGTAGAGGATATGCTGCTTTTAAAAGTTGAAAAACAGCAAGCAGAACGCACGGCGCTCATGTTTTAGGCCCATTGGCGCCCGATAGGCCCATGCCGGCCTCCAGTGACCGTGTCGTTGTGACATTGCCATTGCGCTCTCTCGCCCGTCGTTTTCTGGCCTCTCTCGTCTCTTATCAGTGTATCGCCGCCTTTCGCAATTCACAATTGATCTTGACCACCTTACGCTCGTCCGGTGATCATGATCAATTGAATAAAGAGGGTCTTATTGCGGGCGCTTTTTCGTGGTTCCTTCTCTTCAATAAGTCAACAATCACAGGGCAATTCTATTTTTGAACTGTATTACCTATGAAGTGTGGTCGCGGGAATTGCCTTTAACCCTGGATCACGCTTGCAAAGGGATGGAATTCTGTGGAAAGTTGTAGTTTAACGCATCTGAAGCGCAGCCAGAGCCGAAGAGAAGTTGTGAGTGATGCCACGTGCGCGACATCCACACCAGTTCACTCAAAGTTGGCAATGCTGGTCCTGAACTACAGCCATTTTTGAATTCAACGGCATATCAGATAGAGTTTGGGCTCACTGGTATCAACAGCGAATGGTGGATTCATTCGAGTCAACCTTCCATCAAGTTGAGGGTTGGCTTCATATGTAGATGTATCTGACTGGAAAGTGGTCTACTCGTTGTTTACTCGGACTTCTCTCTTTACTAGTCTTGTTTGAAACAGTTCATGCACTTCAGGTAAGTCACTTTGAAGGGGTGAGCGGCACTTTCATTGATACTGATGTCCCGAAGTGAAACACTTACTCAGCGGTACAGACAATCAGAAGCGAGCAGGGCACATCGTTGTTGGGGAATCCCCAATAGGGGGGGGGGTCGTATTTGGTCGCCAGGAGGGGGGTCGTATTTGGGCTGAGAAAAATTTATTTTGATAGTTGATTTTTCGCTTCATGGACGTTGTAAAGGGAGGGGGGGGTCGTATTTGATCATTTTTGGGAGGGGGGGGTCGTATTTACGTTTTGGCGTTGTGGGAGTGGCGGTAGTGGCGGTTGACTTTTGGTGATTTTCCTTTTCCTGTTTCACGTACTATATGCCCCCCCCCGCTCGACAGCAAAATTTTTGGTAAAAAGTAGGGAAGTTTTCGGGAAATTTTGGAAAAAAGGGGCAGGATTGTAGAGGGGGGGGTCGTATTGTCTCGCGGCTTCACATGTGCTATTTGACCCCCATCCCGCCCATCCGCTCGACGGCTCGATGAGGAAGCGACAGCGGATAGGGGAGGGGGTCGCTACCAACTCCCATAAAGGGGGTCCGTATAGAAGATCGACTGTCTATGATGCTGGGATGAGCCGCCATGTCAAGTCAGCATGTGCTGCGACTATCGCTGTAGGTGCAGCTGCTGGCTGTGCACGCAACTCGGATAACCGGTGGTCTTCCCCCGTGAACTTCTGAGCGGAGACAGTGGCACGCTACCGCATTTGCGGACCTATTCGCCTCGCACATGGCAAGGAACGTCTCCAGAGGTGTTTTGTCTTCAAATGCATCCTCTAAGTGAAAGAGTGAGAGTACCAATACTTAATAGGCGATTTCAAAAGAGGAAACTTCGGAACCAGCTTAAATTTGACCCTTTTCTACCTCTGACATTTTCAGTGATATTCTTTTGGTCCACAATAAGAAGCGATATATCAGCGGAGCTATTTCCAGACGTGGGGCACGAGTTGCTTGACGATGTGAGTCCAACTCAGCATTTCACGATGGAACTTGTTACAAAAACGTGAGAAGGGTTAAACATCCAGCGTTGTCAAGTCTCTTACTGAGAAGCATCATGAATCCTAACTATTGAAGGCACAGCCCGCCATCGGGTATAGAAGTTGAAAATATGGCGTCGGGAGGGTAGTGTGGTCCGCGACGAACAACCTTGTACCGGTTTCGCGGCAAAAAATTGTAAGGGAGGGGCGCTATAGCGCAATATAGGTTCAGTGACGCCTCCTTTTTTCCAGTGACTCCGCCTCCAGACTCCGCCTTCAGGACCCGCCTCTCAGTGAGGACGAAGCCGCCGGAGGAAAAAGCATGGAAGCCGTCAATAGTACGATCGTCGTTCTTGTCGCGTAGTTTCCGCGACAAGATCGACGATCGTACTATCAGTCATGCGATTGAAAGCGCAGCATTGAATATGGAGTTAATTGGCACGTACAAGTGGTATTGAAATGGGATTCTATTTAGGGCGGTTGACGCGTTATTCTGCTTTTTTTCTTCTCTATAGATTACGACCTTGTCATCTATCTGCATACTTCTAATCCACTATCTGTTTTTCCGCCAGTCAGTATATTAACAGTTTCGGTCGCCTGCCAGCCCACAGCTTTTTGGAGAAAGCAAAGCACCGTGCCTCTTGACATGTTCCAGCATCCGCAGCGAACATGAATTTATGTTTTCCGCAGTTCCTCGTCACTCACTGTCACCTCCAGCTGCTGAAATTGAGATTTATGCTGGCTTTTGAGTGTCTTCTGACCGAAATATAGTGTGGGGCCAACGAAGGTAAAGGCTCGCGTCCTCCTCATTCCCCTTCATCGTTCCATTCCAGTTCACAACTCCCGATTTTGACTGGAAAAATATTGGCAAAAAGCTCCTTGAGGTACTGCTATATTATTGAGTAGTTTTTGTAACTCTTTTTTTCTCGCCTCCGTAGAATTTACAGAAAGGGATTTTGTTGTTTCAGGCGCGCGCTGCGCATTCGAAGATTGCAAGGAAGCTCTCAAAGAGAAAGAGCCTCTCTTCAAAAGAAAATGTTTAAAAGACAAAGACGAGAACGGTACCAAACGTTCAAGCGAAGAAAAAAGTGGAATAAAGCTGTCTAAAACTGACGACGAAGATAAAGCTAAGGTTGCGGAGCCAGAGAATGAAGAAAACGGCAAGGGAATAACATGGAAGCGATCAGAAAGACAAAAGATCTACGAAGTCGCAGGCAGGCTGAATAAGCCCGGAAGCGAGGAAAGGGAAGAGAAACCAACGAAGGTACAAAGCAAAGAGAGTGAAAAACCTGATAAAATTGGAAGTCAGGAAAAAGCACGGAAGCATACAAAATTGAGCAGTAGGGAAAAAGATGAAAAAGTATCCAGGCTGGATAGCGGCCGCGAACCCGTACTGAACAAATCTGGAAGCAGGGATAAACTGGGCAAATATATGAAATCCGTCAACTGCGACGATAAGGACTCCGACTAAAACAAGTAAAGCTCGTCGATCGCATATTCATAACCAAACATATTCATCCTTCAATAAACAATATGTTAATCATTCTGCGTTCAGTTTACTTGGCACTTAAGCTGGGTTCATACATTTGCAGTACCAGCGACCAGCAGTGTTCATCTGCGTTCAGAAGTACGGGATTGTGGAGCAATGCAGGGCGGTTGCACATGCGGCAATTTCACAACGTGTAATCCAGCTGTCTTCTCCCTCCTGCTTTCCAATACGCTACTGGCAGTCTGCTACCGTCCTAATTCCCCGTACTCAGTGCTCCTGGTCGCTGATGGACGCTGCTGTGCGCTAAATCGGTATCCAATAGTTCCTGTTCCCTTGAAACGCTGATGGTCGCTGGCGGAGCAGGTTTATGTTGGTAGACGCTACCAATCGCTAGATAGATATATCTAAACTTCACCTAGTCGCCGAC